GCCGTTCCTCACGCTAGCCCCCGGCCTCTGCTCACTGTAGGTCGCCGCCGCTCACTCTAGGTCGCTGTGTTTGACGCTGTTTCATTGTGAAAGCGAAACTACTTTGTTTGGTCTTCCAAAAATGGACACGACTAGAAATCAGTGGTTAAGTTGTATTTACAACACTGTTCCAGAACACTTCAACCCAAATATTCAGATGTGTGCAGCACATTTTATGGGGGGACTGTTTCCAGATCCTGGGAGAATAGACTACAATGCCGGCTGTTCTGACTCAAAGACTGTAAGTACGTTTTTTTATATTTAAAGAGTTTTTATATTTTATATATTTAAAGCGAGTTTTTTGGGCAGTGTAGAGTAGGGCTTGTTGTTTGTCATTTCTCCGATCACAAATGCAGACATGGTTTTATGTTTACGCGGCGCGTAAATTTCATTACACCAAATACAGAAAATAATGTTCATTTTAGCAGCATCATATGACCCCTTTAAAAAAAAAATGAATAAATCTTACTGACCCCAAACCTTTGAATGGTAGTGTAGCTATATGGTACTGTATACACTATATATGGAGCATACAAATCACAGTACACCTCAAAGAGAGCATAAAATTCATGCATGTGCTATTATTATGTTACCCGAGTAGGAGTGAGGCGAGAGGTTGAAGAACCACTGCTGGAGCTCCCAGAGGTAGAGCTGGGATAGGTGGGCATGGGCACTGGAGAAGCTAAGAAAATAATGAACACACTGAAATGTTACTGTAACCAAAACTATAGCAGATTAGCATAATCAAAGTCATGCACATTACAATCTTACATTTCTTCATGGATGTACTGGCCTCCAGGAAAGGATGATGGAAAAATTCATCTAGAATCGACAATAATCACTTTATTATAATCACGTCTCAGTGTTTTAAAGTCAAGTGTGTGATTGTACATGTGTGTCCACTGACCAAAGTCCATGCGTTCCCCATGGATCCTCTGCAGCAACCCAAGTAGAAGGTGCCTGAGGTGACTGGAGGTTTCCCGTGGAATACTGGGAAAAGCATCTGAGTTAGACACTGACAGGATAGAATCACAACCTACACAGTTACGTGTGCATGTTTATACTGTTGTGCAAGGGCTCTGTGAGTTGCCAGAGTTACACTGTACTTGACAGAGTAAGTGATACTCATGAATGTAAACATTGCAACAGTCTATATAAATAAATAAAACTTGACCATGAATGATGGAAAGGAATGAAAGATGGAAGAGAGAAAAACAATGAGAGAAAAGAAACCGGTTCTACTGCACCATCCTGTGGGGGTGACTATCAAATAAACCTTACATTCACAACATAAATAAATATTAGACGTGGTCGCATACACTACTGTTTAAAAGTTTGGTTGGTATGATTTGTAATCTTTTTGCATGTCTCCTATGCTCACCATGGCAGCATTTATAAAAAAAAAAATAGTACTATTCAGAAATATTATTACAATTTAAATGTACTGCTTTCTATTTTAATATATATTCATATATAATTTATTCCTGCGATGCCAAAGCTGAATTTTCAGCATCATTACTCCAGTCTTCAGTGTCACATGATCCTTCAAAAATCATTCTAATATGCTGATTTGCTGCTCAAGAAAACAGTTGTGCTGTTTTGTGGAAACAGATAAATTTTTCAGTATTCTCAAGAACAGCATTTATTTTAAATATAAATCTTTTTTAATATAATAAATGTCTTCACTGTCACTTTTAATCAGTTTAATGCATCATCTGAACAAACATATTAATCTCTTTAAAAAAAATGTTTTACCAACCCCAAACTTTTGAACGATAATGTACACCAGGGACCTTTGCGCCTGTAGTGCCTAAACTAAACTGGATCATGTTGATTGATGACTAACATACAGTCCTCAGGGTCACTTACCTGGGACTCAGGCTCCGGTGTCTTTCATAGAACTGCCGCAGTTCCTGAGGAGTACTTGCCTGGAAAAAGATTTTAGATAGAGGAAGAATTTGAGAACTACTTGTATTACTTAAAGTTCATCTGAACCATTTTTCTGCATGAAAAAATGGGCAAAAAACCCTAAATCAAAATATCTTTTGACTAGGGCTAGTAAGCAACCACCAAGAACACCCAAGCAACCACACAGCAATGCTGTAATGGGTCTCCAGAAACACTTTAGCATAATGACAGCGGGTTTGCAAGATCAAATACCACTCAAATCTAGTTTGATATTGTTGGTTCACTCTGCACTGCCTGGCAGGCAAAGATAATTCATATTTTTAGACTTACAGTTGATACTGAATTATAGTTTGTGGTGAGCAGCTCATTACATGGCTTAACTACATTCATTTTTGTAAACTCTGGCTGTTTGGGATGTAAACGCATTATTCCAGGTCTAAGGTTAAATCTTGAGGGTCTGTTTCTACAAATCATAAAGGCTTTCTAATGGCTGCAGGAACAAGCCCTTAAAGCAATATTTCCATGAAGGAAGTAAACACAATGGTTAGGACAGAGATGACTGATCTGTCTACTAAATGAACTCAACGACCCATCTTGACCCATTTACAGACTGACATTGTGTTACAAGACTGTCAGGAGTTCCTATTACCAACTCTTTAACTCTTCAACTCTTTAAAAACGCTAAAAATACAAACCCATAAATAGATGTGGTTGTGACTGTGATCAGACGGGTTCACATGTTAGCCATCTGGACTCTGCAAGCTGTATGACCAGAGGTCAAATGGGAAACTTCACCCACAAATCAGTCCTTCTAACAGCAGCACCTGGCTTACCTGAAGGATCCCAATAATACTTGTCGGCATGCATGTCAACTTTTCAGGATTCTGTTATGAATTATAATAACAAACTAATGACCAGCCTGTGGCAATATTCAGCGTAAGTATTGCAGCAACAAACAACACGAACATGCATATTTTGCAATATGACCATCACACAGAAAAAAAGAACTCCCTGTTCTAGTAGTAAACCCACAGAGATGCCACCCATGTGAGTGGGCAAGTGTGTATGTATGGGTGTGAGTGTTTGTTAGTAAATCAGAGGGTGTGTTTAGTTGCAAAGATGTGTTTTGTTTATCAGTGAGATGTCACAATCGTGTTTCACACTCTACAAGGCATAAATAACCGAGGGTGCCAGCCACTTACGCTTTCGCAATTAAATCATTCCAGAACGTTCAGGACTGACGCAGTAGAAATAAACACTCGGTGACATTGCTAGCATTTTTCCTTGATAACAATATGCTACCATTCAAATGTTTGTAAAAAAACAAAGCAATACTATACTTATCAATACTTATTCAGCAAGAATGCATTAAATTGATCAAAAGGAACTGTTATATATATATTTAAAAAAAAGAAATTAGAATAGATGCCATTTTGAACAAAAATATTAGGCAGTTTTCAACATTGATAATAAAAATAAATGTTGCATCCATCACAGGACTAAATTATGGTACATTTTAAAATACATTGAAATACATAAAATATATAAAGTAAAATATAAAATTTTAAAGCAGTTATTTTAAATTGTAATATTGTACAATATTACTGTTTTACTGTATTTTAGATCAAATAAATGCAGCCTTGGTGACCATAAAAGACAAAAACAAACAGATTTTTAAAACATTAAGTGTTTGAGCAAAATATTAGACCTAAAATACATTACTTATACCTCATACTGAATCTGTAGTTATTCTTCACACAGAGAAAAAAAAAACATTTAAAGAGATAAAAATGAAAAAGATCATCATTTACTGACCCTCATGCCATTTTAAATCTTTACAACTTCCTTCCATGAAAGTTTTCCAGCAAATAACAACTTAAATTCTGGTCTGTTCCAGAGACATGATGACAGGATTTTAATTTTCCCATTAAATAATTCCATAATGTTTAAATGGGAAGTCCAAGAATATATAGCAGAGAACTTAAAGCTACAGAACATCCAAAAATGAAAGAAATAGATTTGAGTGTGAATATATCCATGCTGGAAACCTTATGGTTAGGTGAAAGTGCATTTTAACCCCGAAGAAACGTGCGTGCAGATGAGACCACTTCCAAAGGGGCTCTATTTGTGGCAGCACATATGTGAAACAACCTATTCTCAGAGATCCTGAATTATCTTTCTCAGGAAAGATCAGGCAAGTTGTTTGTTTGGTAAATATGTCTTCTGCAGTTTCAAGTGTCCAAGACCAAAGCAAGTTCAAGGCTTCAACCTTCGAGAAATAGGCTTTGGTCTAAAATTCTGTCAACAATCAATCTTTATTATATAACCTTTAAGATACATCATCCTTTGGTGAATAAACAAGATGTTGATGAATAAACAATGCAAAATGTTATCCTAAAAAGGATATGGATGCACAATATATGGAGCATGGTTATTATCATTCATTACAACTCTTAAAACATTTTTGTTCATTTAAATAAAGCTCAAATAAAATGTAAATATTAGATGAAAAACTTGAACTGAAAATTAGAAATGGTGAATAACTGAAATAAGATCAAACTAAAATAAGCTGATTGAAGTACTAAAATTGAAGTAAACTGACATTTTTACTTCAGCACAATTTAAAAATTTAAGTTGAAGCACTACAATTACTATCTAGAAATAAATAAATACTAAAATTCAACTAAAATTGTAAAAATAGTAAAGGTGACATATCATGAAAATCTGACTTTTCCAGGTTTTAAGTGCTATAATCAGGTCCTGGGTGCATCTACCAACCAAGGAAACGTGAAAAAGATTAACCCAGTAACTTTGTTTTGCTAAGCCTTTTTCTGCAAGCGTCTGAGAAAACGAGCGCGTCTGTTTTCGCTCCCTTGGTGACGTGGCAAAGGGATCTCATTATAATATTACCGCCCCTTAACCTGTACGTTTCCACCCACGGCACCGTCATTATGATTTCACAAGCGACAATGGTGTACCAGCTCTAATGCCATGGTGAAAGTTTGAGCAAAACACGCTAACTGTTCTGTCTTTGGCTGCACAGACGAGCACAGAACACTGTTTAGGGTTCCAGCCTCAGAGGAGACAAGAGAGCAGAGGATTTATTGATTTATTTACTGTATATTGCTAAATAAATTACTGTATATTGCTAAATAAATTTATTTCCCAGCTGTTTACCTTCACAGACATAACTGACTGTTTTTGTAACTCATGTGTTTTTAACGTAAACTTGTGTGTGAATGAGAACTGTTTAGTACTCACATGCTGTGACAGCCGCTTTCTGTCCATGTGCTTCGGATGTGTGCACTCAGAAAACCGTATATAAGAAGTTTAAACTCATGTGGTTTAAAACGCATGATTTCAGCGCGATAAACATGATAATCAGAACCAAAACAGATGTTTTTTAGCAGGTACGAGCTGTAATGGCGCAGCTCTATTCTGGAAAATGGGGTGGGGAACAGCAGTTCATTTGCATTTAAAGAGAAAAGCACGAAAAACAGCGTGTTTCTGCTTCCACTCAAAATAGGCATTTTCAAACCGATATTATAAATGAACTGTGGGGTATTTTGAGCTGAAACTTTACAGACACATTCTGGGGACACCAGAGACTTATATTACATATTGTAAAAAGGGGCATAATATGTCTCCTTTAACTAAATAGTAACACAGTTAAATGTAATCTTCATCAAATCTAAAATTGAATATCCATTTTTCATAATGTGCATTATAATGTTGTGATGCCTAAATTTACTTGTAGCATTTATTAGGTTTTAGTTCTTAATATTTACATTTTTATTTATGTAGATAAAATAATATACAGTATTAATATCAACCATCAAATAATAACAATAAAAAATTATAAGTATAGGCCAGTATTTTAATTCTTGATGCATCTCAATTTGTCTACAACTGTATACAGGTTCAAATCTTTGTTGTGTTATGAAGTCTCTTTGCTGCTCCAAGATTCTACATAAAACTGTGCTAAAATATGTCTACAGAAATAGACCAAGCAGGTATAATAACAACATGGAGAAATTAGACACCTCATTTGTACAGTTATCCATTTACTAATCTGTAATAACAACTGCCTAATTTGTAATAATCAGTGGCACATATAATGATGAAGTACAGATGACATGCTGAAATGAGGCTAGTGTACTTACAGTGTAAATACTCGGCTAGGTCTCCTCCATTGCAGTACTGTAAGAGGAGACAGACAAACACTGTAAGTGCACAGTCAACACAAAACAAACTCTCATCAAAAGAAAGAGTAATCACAATAACACCAGGGCTTCAAATGGCTTTATGCTGACAATAATAACAGAGAAGTGTGAATTAAGCTTAGCATAAAAGACATCCTGCAAGGGGAGGTGAAATTTGACCTTTGATTTTTTTTCTCTCTCTACTTAACACCAAGTCTATTTTGAGGTTTACAGTGGGTGTGTGAGAGGTGCAGCATGCCATCTGGACTCACCTCCATGACAAGATAGACACATCCCAATATCTCCTGCAGACAGAGACACAGAGACATGAGACACACCATGAAACATTTACAATTGATTATATGAAAGAAACACCCAGCAACATGCCATCTGACAGCCATGGCACAAATTCTTCACTGTCTAGATCAGGACAGACCTCGGGCGGGACTCCCAACAGATGCCCGAGTCACACTGACTCATCATACAAAGCCTACAATTACCTAAGCTTTCTATGAATAGTCTGTTATCATAGTGTGAGCTCACATGCAATACAAATCACAATATGTGCTTGCATATCACTGACAGGTTATATTTTATGCACTCTTTCAGGTGCAGAAATTTCTCATTTTGTGCTAGAGGTATTTATTTATATTATTATTATACATTTTTAAGATTTATTTTTCTATTTTGTGAAAACTATGATGGGTGTGTAGGGCAGGGAAAATGTAATGCACAGGAGGAAATTTGTGTTCATTTTTTTGTGTTCAAAGCTAAAAATAAGACTGCTTAATTCATATGCTGCTGTATAGCATTTGTAAAGTCAAAAAATATAATAATCAAATTATTATTATTATTACTGCTACTACTACTATTACTAATTATAAATTAATTATTTATAAAAACTCTATAAATTAATTACATTAACCTTTAAAAAAATTAATATGATAATATGAATTTAAAATGAGTATTAAGTAATAACAATACAAATATTACTAATATTATACTTATTCAAAAACAATTACAAATAATTAAATTCATATAATAATTAATAATTATCATCACTATTATTATTATTATTATGATTTATGAATTGTGTGGATGTCCTACTGTGTTCATTTAATAATAATAAATATTTGGCAGCATTTCAAACAACCGGCCATATATCAAGCCAGTTTTAAAGATGCTTCAGTCTAGACTACTAAAGATATTATGCTTTTATGCTAATCAGTGCACAAAATAAATGCAAAAAAATGCTTTTTGCTGACAAAATCAAACATTTTGACAGACTCTTAAAGTGCAGTAGTCACAAGGAGAAACCATCTCAAAATGCCCTTTGACTTCTAGCCTGCATAATCAAACCCAATGCGGATTCCAGGTGGTTTGTTACCCCTTCATGTCCATGAATTATACTAAACAAATTCTGCTCCTGAAAGGTTTAATGGAGCGGATCAATATGTCCGCACACAGGCCAAGTGCCATGGTGACCAGTTTGAATGAGGCATTTACATGGCCCACTTGTTGTGCAACAAAAGTCCCATTTGGCCGATGTCCATGCAGGCTCTGCGTGTTACCGCAGTCAGGACAGAAGCAGGTGTCATTACCCACAGGTGACTGACATACAGATCAGCAGCCAGCCGGCATGCTGGGAGCAGCATGCATTAGTGAGCATGTGTGTTTAAATAGCATATTACATGAGCAAAAAAAAACTTTGTTCATAAAAGATAACAGCCCTGTATGACTGCAAAGTTGTGTAACAGCTAATTTTATAAGTGTGACACAATTATTGTGGATAAAGGCTTAATGTTAAGCTTCCTGTTTGTGTGTGTGTGTGTGTGTGTGTGTGTGTGTGTGCGCTGAATCCGTGAGAAATGAAACCAGGCCATCAGCAGTAATGCAAAGTAAACTAAGTAAAGCCCTGTCCAAGGCTATAGACCCCACACAGGGCAAAATACACTTAAATTATCTTCTCTAGACATATTTACAAGGCCCTGGAGATGACTGTCAAAACATTATGACCCATTAGAATACAAGACAAAGGACTTTCGCAACAACAAAAGACTAAAACAACAAAGCTTAACGAACAAAGTTAAAGGTTTCCATGAGTGTGGGATGGGTTTCACTAAGCATAAGTGTCATTTCTTGTGCTATTGTTCAGCTTTCACGCAGGACAGCAGCCAGCCACCTGTGCACATTGTTCTGTCAGGTGAACCCACTGCTTGGCAGCTGTCTGATGAGCAGCGGATCAACCCCGGTGGACAAACTCATGTCAAATACTGTAAGTGCTGGCCAGATGTAAATTAGACTGATCCTGGAGCCAGTTAAAGGGGGTAGTCCTATAACTGCAGGCTTGTATAGTATCAAATGCACCTGTGTCGGTTCTAACAGTGATTGAAGCATGATGGAGTGAGCACAAATTATTAGTGTGCATTCACTGTCAGGTCATTCTCTAAGGATAATGTGGAGAGAGGTTTGACTAACTATGCAGTGTGGTTCATTCAAATGCAATTCAGTTAAAAGTTACCATTTAAAAGAGCAACTGGGACTAGATGCCTTGTGTAGTAGAGTAATGCTGTTACACTAAATATACATTAAAAAAAAAGGATTCATTTCATTAACAATTTACTTTAATTGTACCTTAATTTAGATCTGAGATTGCCAAATTTTTGCATCAGCCGAACCCCTATGACCTATAATATATTAACTTAAAGCACCCCCTGAGATTTGAAGTTAATATTTCAATAATTTAACAACACATTCATATGTTCACTCCTCTTTTGTCGGTCAATGACATACAGGTAAACAAATAAAAAGTATTTTATTTCGATTTTTTTCTTCTTCTTTCATTTATATATTTCAATTATCATTTCATTTAATTAACAATTATAAATTATTATTATTATAAATTACATAATTTTAAGACGACGACGACGATGAAAAATTGTAAATGTGGACAAACTGTAATAATATAAAATAATGAGTTATTTAATGTGATTAGATTAAACTTCATTATTCTTTTATCTTGTCTTCTGGTATTTGAACAGTGCAAACAATCTGAAGTAAACCTGTTATACTTGCTCAAGGGCACAATACCGCAGGTTCGAAGCTGTAACACTGTGTTGTGTTTCTTAATATCTCCACACCTGAGACAACCATCTGTCATCAGATCAGCCTGAATGCCCGGAGTCCTGTCCTCTATTCATTAAGATACATTGATAAGGGTATCCTACATCAGACAACGTCTGTTCTGTATGCAAATGATAGAGACAGGCAGTTAAAAGGGAGTCCTGGGCTGCCTGCCAGGTACTGGCTAATGCATGCACAGGTGTCAGGTGTTTACTTCAACAGACACATAGACATCTGTCATGGCTGCCATTGTTTCTTGCCTGTTTACTTTTAGTACTTTAGCCACAAGAGACATTTGAGGTGATCAATTGTCTGTGCCTCTCAAGGAGTCCAGCTTGAAATCACAGAGATGCAACATGGAATTATTACTCATGGCGAGTCATATATAGACTACATCTATTCACCCAGAGCGTGCCGTCAGGGGCGGGGCTTAACATTTAACCAATCAGATGACGGGAACTGCACCCATAATATCAACACTGAGCCATGCCATATTCCAGCTATAAATATCTTTGGTAACATGGAAAAGGCTCTCTGTTTCAATAGAATAGAAACCACTTAAAAACAACACAGTTGGCTTACACATATACCGCGAACAACTAACTTTAATTCGTCCCAGTTATAGCATACAATTAGTAGGTACATACCTGAAAGTCCAGTAAGCTGACAATGTTCTCATGTTTCAGCTCCTGCGAAAACACACATTCACTACATTAGCGAGCAGAAGTCATAAAGCAATGCTTCTATAAGGAGGTGATGATATTTGCTAAACCCTTGACACTGTTTATATCATTAGCTAATCGTTGTTTTGGCACAAAGAAGCCTTTCAGATAGCGAGAACCGCTCAAATGGCCTCGCAAGACGGATTTCGCAATGTTTACTATTTTTCGGAAGATATTTAATGAATAAATAAATACCATGAATAGCAAGCAAACCTGTGCGCACCCGGAGTGTAACTAGCAAACTCACCTTTAATATCCTGATTTCTTTTCCTAGGAGCGACTGTGATTTGGCGAGGTTTTTCTTGTTGATGCATTTCACCGCCACTTCAAAATCATGTTTCTGTGAATGAAGACATGGATTGGCGTTCTGGCATTCGTGTCGAGCCGCAGTACACAGCTCAACAGCTCAACAGCTCAACAGCTCAATGCTCATCATAGCGTTACCTGTTTGTGTCTTCCTTTGAACACCACAGCAAAAGCGCCGTGTCCTATCAAGTCCTTCCTGCTGAACTCGTACTTTCCAACGCTTTCCATCGCGTATAGAGATTAAAACTGCTCCGTAAAGCCACAGGTGAGAGCAGGGTGTGAGGGCTCCGTGTGTGCGACCCGTCTATCGCTAGCCATCCGCTGCTGCTTTGCACCCAAACAAGCCGACACTTCGGTCATGATCGGTATTCGCTACCTACTTGTTGATAAAAACGAAGTCACTGTCATCTTGATCGTACTATGTTAAAACACTTTTGTACAAAAGTATACTACATTAGATTGTGAAACTGTCAGAAACAGAGTCGGCCGTGACGCATCGGGGTCAGACTCGTTTACTGCACTGTTTTGGTCGTCTCTTTCCAAACAAAGCTTGAACCGTGTGTGTGCATTACACGCATGCGCACTACTGCTCTGTCCGTGCGCTAGTGGCTTGATGTGCGCATGCGTGCTTATGCCAAGGAGCCGGTGCAAAACGTGTATCCTCATGAACGTCTTCTTCTTTTATGTTTAATGGCGGTTGGCAAACCAGCTTAAGGTGCATTTCCGCCACCTACTGGGATGGAGTGTGAGGCCTCGACGAACGAATATATTATATACTACTAATAAAAAAAAAAATTTTTTTTAAATAAATATATATATATATATAAAAAAAACATGGAATTATTACTCATGGTGAGTCATATATAGACTACATCTATTCACCCAGAGCGTGCCGTCAGGGGCGGGGCTTAACATTTAACCAATCAGATGACGGGAACTGCACCCATAATATCAACACTGAGCCATGCCATATTCCAGCTATAAATATCTTTGGTAACATGGAAAAAGCTCTCTGTTTCAATAGAATAGAAACCACTTAAAAACAACACAGTTGGCTTACACATATACCGCGAACAACTAACTTAAATTCGTCCCAGTTATAGCATACAATTAGTAGGTACATACCTGAAAGTCCAGTAAGCTGACAATGTTCTCATGTTTCAGCTCCTGCGAAAACACACATTCACTACATTAGCGAGCAGAAGTCATAAAGCAATGCTTCTATAAGGAGGTGATGATATCGAACGAATATATTATATACTACTAATAAAAAAAAAAAAATTTTTTAAATAAATATATATATATATATAAAAAACTCAATTATTCTAATCAAATCTGTATCTCTCAGATATTTTAGAAGAAAATCATAAACCCTTAGATGTTTCTGTGCATTCTGAAATATATTCATAACTGAAATGTCATTGATTTCCATATCTCTCAGTTTTTCAACAAGTTGTTTTCTTTGTCTATTCTATGCCTCACAATGTAAAAGCACATGTTCAACTGTATCTGTTATTATCTGTCACAGAAACTGCCACTATCTGACTCACTTTTTCCTGTTATATGCCATGAATAATTAAGCTTAGAGTGTCCTAATGGACACTGGGGGACACTGGGGGACACTGGGGCCTAATGGTTAGAGTCTCGGACTCATAACCCAAAGGTTGTGGGTTCGAGTCTCGTACCAGCAGGGAGTGTAGGTGGGGGGAGTGAATGTACAGCGCTCTCTCCCACCTTCAATACCACGACTGAGGTGCCCCCGAACCCCCAACTGCTCCCGGGGTGCCGCAGCATAAATGGCTGCCCACTGCTCTGTGTGTGTGTGTGTGTGTGTGTGTGTGTGTGATCCTGGTTCTAACAGTATCTTCTCTTCTGTTCCCTCATGAACTGCTGCCTGCTGTTGAACACTTTTCAACGTTGTATGTGGACAAATATACACTACTGGTCAAAAGTTGAGAATAATTAAGATTTTTTTGTTGTTGTTGTTGAAAAAAGAAAAAAAGTCTCTTGTGCTCACCAAGCTTACATGTTTAATCAAAAACACAGTAAAAACAGCAATATTGTAAAATATTATTACAATTTTAAATGATTATTTTATATTTTAAGATATTTTAAGAATGTACTTTATTCCTGTGATGGCCAGCTGAATTTCCAGCATCATTGCTCCAGTATTCAGTGTCACATGATCCTTCAGAAATCATTCTAATATGCTGATTTTTTTACTAATGTTGAAAACAGCTTTTGTTGAAACCGTGATACTTTTTCTCCTCAAGATTCTTCGATGAACAGATAAGCTTAGTTCAAACAACTGTCACTTTATATTGTTGAATAAAAGTATTACGTTCTTTTATCTCTTTTTAAAAATCTTACTTACGCAGCCGTTCAAAACTTGGGTATGACAATTTTCTCAAAAACATTAAGAAGCAAAAACTGTTTTCAACAATAATAACAGTAATACAAATGTAACAGCAAGTGTTCATTATTATTAATATATCATGAGGCACATTAACACCATCAACATAAATCATAAATTACAGATTAGTTCATAAGTTAATGAATAATTAACCTATTGTTTTATATTCAAATCCATAAACAAACCCCAATTTATGTATGTATGTATTTATTTATGGATGTGTGTTTGTACATCGTAATCAAATGTTACATAACCTGCCCATACTTAGACTATTATGTAAAATTATATTGTCCGTCTGCCATTTAGAAAGTTACACATTAACACCACAAAGTAAAATAAAGTCAGAAGATTATATTAATCTAACATTATCAAACTGCCCTCCCTGTTGAAAAAACCAGCATATGATGGTTATGTATGTTTTGACGCTGGGATGCTGGTTTAAACTGGTCCTTTTGCT